CACGAGGCCCTTGGTGTAGTCCAGCCTGTCGACGCCCAGCAACAGCTGCTCCTGCTCGTTGTTCTTGACCACCTGAGGCGCCTTCTCTGCCAGGCTGACGAACCTGTCGTAGGGAATGCTGATGGGCAGAGGGTGCACCGACACCGTGCGCCCGTTGTGCTCCACCAGCATCTGCTCGCGGTCCACGCGGCAGCCCAGACGCCTCTGGCAACAGTCGATGAAGTTGAGGCAGTAGTCCTCCACGTGGAAGCCCACGGAGTCGCAGCCAAGGATCCCCTGCAGGAGCTCGTCGTCCCAGGGGAAGAGCCGCATGATGTCCCACGATGGGAAGGGGATGTGCAGGAAGAACGCCATCTTGATGGGCAGGCCCAGCTTGTCGCACCTGTCGCGGATGCTGTTGGCGGCCATCATCAGGTGGTAATCGTGGAGCCAAACAAGTGGTACGCTGTCAGGATTTGTCTCCGCCAGTTTGATAACTGCCTCGACAGTCAGCTTTGCAAAATGCTCGTTGACTTGCCTGTAAGCCTGGAATGCGAAGATGAATTTTGTTAACGTGAGGCTGCATCGTTTCGTAATAATTTATTTGATTTTACAAATAGTATTAGATTAAATAATGTAAATAATCACGCATGCGCTAATAAGTTTTAACAATTTCAACATAGCATCAATAAGCTGTACATTTTTAAGAACGTAATACTGACCTCCCATTTATCCGACTGGAAAAGTGCCCTGTCCGGCATGGAGTGGAAGAGAGGCCAAAAGGTCGCATTACAACAGCCATTGTAATAGTCATCAAACTGTTTTTGCGGCAGCCTCACTGGAATCACCTGCAACGGAAGACACATACATATAAATAATCATCTACATGTACTCTTCTTACGTTATCACAGGTCTCTTAGCAATAAATACAAACACATTCACAACAATATCCACACTATGTATTACCTGTTGACTCTTAAGGCCTGCTGTAGGAGAGTGGTCATTCGGATTGGCTTCGGGAATGTCATGCTCCCCGTCTTCAAGATGCTGGCCCGACCACCCGACCCACAGGCCATTGGTCTCCACTACAACGGGGGCGACGGCAGTCACCAGCCCGCCCGCGCTGTAAACAAATGTGGCACGTTGAGTTCGTTGGCACCGTGTGAATGTGTGTGGTGTATGTGTTAGTGATGAAGAGCGCTTGTATATTATTATTGATGTGTGTATGTTATTACTGATGCTTATGTTAAGTTTATACTATTGTGTGTCGAGGTACACTATAATATACACGTGTGAAGTAACCGATGGAATACTGAAGTGAAATTTTGAGTTCATACATTTCTAAGTCATACCTAAAATATGGCAAGGATTGGCCGTAGATTTTAGAAATGTCAATGGTTGGGTAAAGTTGTTTCATCAATGTCCTATTCAATTCACATTCTTCCCTGCTGCTGACAAATGATCTCGTAGAATTAAACTAATGATACACGAGAACGTAATAGTTGCAGGTCACTTTAAGAGACCACAAAGAACTTGTATTATTTTCAAATTAATTATCCGTCTCTATGTAGTGTATGATCACCGAACACATACAAAAACATGAATGAACTGTCACCTGAGTCATTCATACTCACCATTGCTTTCTCTCGAACTGGCCTGTCTCTGCGTTTTTCTGTACGATGAATGGAAGCCTGTTGGCCACCACAACCATGGGGGAAGTGGCGTTCACAACCATCTTGTTCAACACTTGTCCACTGCAATGTAAATACACCAACTCTTCAGTTTCGTGGGATTTCTGGCAAGAGCTGCTTTGTTTCCTGTGTTGTCGCTGCTCCCGCTCTTTCTCAAATGATAACCTGTGGAGACGAGGCAGTATAAATACAGGCCACGAGCCAGTGGCGGCGGCCGGCCTCCTGCGCCAATCAGCTTCTCACACGTCACAGGCAACGCAATTGAAACTGGTTAGTGATTTCTATCGCTTTTTCCTTCAACAAAGTGTTGATTTTTTTTTTTTTTTTTTTTTTTTTTTAATAAAAGAAAGCTGATAGGCATGGAGGAAGATAAAGCTACGTTACGTAAAACAGAGCACACTTCACATTCTATACGGAGCATTTGGCCGTGCGACCTTCTACTTCAAAGTATATTATTAAAATTGAATATAGGCTGAAATACGCTAAAAAAGCGTTTTGATCACACCACATCACTAATAATCAAAGGTATATTTTAAGGATGGGTAACAGCATTCATTGAGAAACTAGTCTGGAAACCTGGAGAAAGAAAAAGATATGAATTTGACTGATTGTTCATGCATTTTGCAGACGCGTCCACGACTTTCCTGCCTTTCTTTTACACATTCTCATTACATCACCCCCCCCCCCCCCCCACTCACAGTAATAGTTCCACCCCCTGGTGATAATGTCATCGAAGGAACAGCAGAACAAAAACCATGTCGTGGTTTCATCCCGTCAAAAGCACGCAGTCCCTGGCCTACAATTTTTATTTTTTATTTTTCTCTCTCTTTCTCTAGAGGCCTGTCTGTCTGCTCCCCCCTCCCCTCCTCTCTCTCTCTCTCTCTCTTTCTCTCGCTCTCTCTCTCGACTATAACTTTAACCTAATTTTTTAAACTGCTGTCACTTGCGCAAATTTTCTGACATATGCTTGTAATTTATCACTTAATGCAAGACAATTTAGGACGGAATATATAAATCAACTCTGTTTCCCATAAAGTGCACCCTACAGAGGAAAAAATGCTCTTGCTAATAGGCCTATGTCAGTAGGATAACTAATGAAAGAGAAAATAAATCTAGTTTATAGCACTATCAAAAGAAAATGCCAGTAATAATATTAGTTGTTTATATATATATATATATATATATATATATATATATATATATATATATACATATATATATATATATATATATATATATATATATATATATATATATATATGCATATAATCATATGTATATGTACACACACACACACACACACACACACACACACACACACACACACACACACACACACACACACACACACACATGTGTATATATATATATATATATATATATATATATATATATATATATATATATATACGTATTCGTTCATATATGTACACACACACACACACACACACACACACACACACACACACACATATATATATATATATATATATATATATATATATATATATATATGTATATATATATATATATATAGACACACACACACACACACACACACACACACATATATATATATATATATATATATATATATATATATATATATATATATATATATATATATACATATATATATATATTTATATTTATATATATATGCTTATACATATATATGTATATATGTATGTATACACACACACACACACACATATATATATATATGATGCTCATAAGCACAAGAATCTCAAAGGGCTAAAAGCACTACCCGCCCACTACACCGACCAAGCACTAGCAACAGCAGCCTCCACACACCCATTCATAGAAGATTCCTCTTAAATAAACTCCTTGGCAACTGTACCCAAAGCAAAGACAATACGGGGATTTTATCTTGTGTGTATCAGAGGGCGTCTTTGAAAAAAAAAAATCCTGCCTTCTATGACTGTTTAGTATATCAACGCTTTACTTACTAGTCCAGACACGTGTCGACATTGTACTTTTCACGGAGGAAGCAACAAGAGCAAGGTATTCCCTTCTGAGGACACTTGGGATCATACATAGGCACTCCCCCATCCCTTATATTTAATCCTGTTATGCTCCGGGCTCTAATTAGCTGCTGAAAAATAAGAAAAAAACGAATATCGTCTAAAAGTATGAACCACTTATAATTCATCTTTGGCGGGTTTTGTGAGTAAACTTTTTTTTTTTTTTATTAAAGGCAATAATAAACAATGGGTAAGCAATGAGAAAGTGAACTATAAACTTAGAATCTATTTAGAATTTATTTAATGTAATAACATTATTTATTTCACTTCCACCAATAAAAGCAGTTAGGAGAAAATCTGTGGCATTGTGCAGTGCCATTGTGTGCACCCTGTGACAGCACACACGTGGACACAGTGTTTCCGCTTTGGTGTCTGAGTGAGAACGGTCACTAGCCAAGCACGTGAACACTGTTACTGGGTGCTTTAAACGAGTACGATTGGCTACACCACAGAAAATAACATTTGAATTTCATGCAGCTTCCTCTCCCGGCAGTTTTGTGACCTTTTGGCCTTGCTTGTCACACCTTTCTCCGCGCTTTGATCCAAACACTTTCTATGCCCCTTTTTTAACCACTCAGCACATATCGTGTTATTATTTATTCATCACCTGCCTTCGTTAATATTCAAATAAAAAATTCACTTTCGTTGACTTTCGAATTCGATATGAACTAATTAAAGATAATTTTGTAATTTATCAGTCTGCGAACTACAGTTCTTTAATAGTTATATATATATATATATATATATATATATATATATATATATATATATATATATATATATATATATATATATATTAGGTATTAACCATTTCATATCGACGTTCACTCACTGGACGCCTGATTAGAGAGATAAACAACAATGGCAGCAGACGTAGTAATCACGCAGAACAGCTGGTTGTTATACATTCACCATCGGAACAGTTAGTTGCCTGTCAAAGAAAGCTAAATTATGTTGACGAAAACTCCGAAAGGATTGTGTTTTGATGGCGTAGGAAACCCAGTACTCTCAGCACAATACTCTCCTTTGCGTACAAGGCGTTCCTGCTACACACTTAATAATAACGAAAGTACACTTACAATTAGGACGATTGAAATAAACATAACAATGACAAACTTATTGGACACAGTTGGTAGTAGAAAGTAGGTTACCTTCTTTTAAGTAATATCCTGTGAGAGTGTATGGTTCACAATACTATCTTGCTGATTTTCACTTTCAGTCTAGATGATGGTATTCCTTCTGCCGCTGGGAAAGTGGTTGGAAAGGAGCTGTCATTACCTTTATATATACTGATTGCAAGCAAGGGCGGAGACTGGGGAAGCACTAGGTTTGTGTGGTTATCAGTCGCTTAAAATACTTTTTTCGTTTTTATCACGTTCGTTATGATTTTGAAGTCATTGTACGAGTTTCATCGCTTATTTCGAACCATTCGTATGCCATGATGAAGTTGGCAGATGATTTTGTAAACGGTAATGGATGATATATTTACTAATTATAAATATGGTGTTGCTACCCTTTCCCTTCTAACGCATGGCAATGTTGTTGACCTGCGCATTGGAAGTTTCCGTACAGAAATCGCTAGATAAATCCGGTTATGTGTAATATGATGGATGCATCGATTATCTATGGTGATGTAATGATATGAATTTCTTTCATTTTAAACTGCAGTCGTGTTGTCATTCTCTCCCTATAGAAACAAGGCGAAAATCAAACGTTTCCCGAATGGATTTCTCGATCTTTCTCCGCACTTTCTATGAACAACGGTGACCCAAAGTGCGGGAAACAAGCATAGTAAATCAACCAATTCCATATTTCCCTTTATTCCGAACAGTGGACATCAAATACGTCAATAACAAGTAAAATTAACAAATAAAACATCTCTGTGGTTAAAAGCGAGGCCGACCCCTGGCAACTGCGCTGGAGAAACGTTGGGAAGTGTCCACGCAGTCATCACGTGCTCACCTCCCGGGCTCTGTGAGAATCGATGGACTGTAGGATTCCGGACCACGTCCATCCTGCTTGCTAGATTGTCTCGAAATTTCGGTCCCGGGACACGCGGCGTTCACGTGATGACCACCTGTTAACACCAGTATATTCCATCCGATGTTATTGTTCTCTGAATGGCGTGTCACCCCTGTTGCTAAAAACGTTTGATCTACCATGCCGGCTAGTGTGCCAGCCCTTTTATATTTACGGAATGTAATATATAGTCGAACGGCAGGCGAGGTTGAATGAAAGAGATTTAATTAGTTGTAAGAGATGAAAATGTTCCGGTCATGATTCATGGGGGATGACATTGCACAACCTTAACGGGGAAGCTGCTCCGGGCCATGAATTCGGGAAAAGTCCATGAGGTTCAAAATAAACCCTCATGGCGCCTGGGCTGCCCGCGTTATCGATGCTATTTTCAGAATAAGCCTTTGCTCTTTTCTCACGAAGGAATGTATCATTTTTTATTTAATTACTCAATCTCGTTTGGGAATGTATTTTTGCGGGGGACATTCATGTTGCTTTTCATGACCTACGCATCGCTTTCCCAGAATCCACTCGGTGTCCCGGATGCCCTTTCCGGAGGCTCGGTCAAGCAGCCGTTCTACAAATCGATAACAGTCTGCCAGTGTTACGTAATGTGTCTGCAATCGCGCCTACCGCCGGTATTTATATCCATCGATATATACATGCACTCATACATACTATCATACTCGGACACACATACACTGATATATATGTATATATCAACGCATATATCTATATATGTGCGTGTGCAAATATATATATATATATATATATATATATATATATATATATATATATATATATATATGTATATATATATATATATATATATATATATATATATATATATATATATATATATATATTATGCATACGTGTATTTGTGTATATTTATGCACATACATATACATATATATACACATATATACACAAACACACATATATATGCATATATATATATATGTATATACATACATACATACATACATACATACATATATATATATATATATACACACACATATATGTGTGTGTGTGTGTGGCTATGTATATATATAAACATATACATGTGGTTATCTATGTGTCTATATATATTTATACATATACATATACATACATGCACATGCACTCCCCCCCCCCTCTCTCTCCCTCTCTCATTCATTCATACACACATATTTGTGTGTGTGCATTTGTATCCTTACATCTGTGCACGTCTGCATCTGCATGATTACATTGTTTCAATTCACCTGGCTTGCAATGGAGGAAAGTACGAGAGATCTCTGCTTGTGTTGCTAAAGGTTCGCGGAGAAGTTTCTCGTGCTCGCGAATGCAAACCTTTGCTCAGCCCCGCCCTCTTCTTGCTCCGTCTCTCTCCCTTCTCCCTCCTCTCTCCTCCTGCTCCCCCTATTCACTTCCTTATTCTTCCCTCTTATCTCTCCTTCTCTCTCCTCCCTCTTCTCACCCCTTCTCTCTCCCTTCTCCCTCCTCTCTCCTCCTGCTCCCCCTATTCACTTCCTTATTCTTCCCTCTTATCTCTCCTTCTCTCTCCTCCCTCTTCTCGCCCCTTCTCTCTCCCTTCTTTCTCCTCCCTACTCTCGCTCCTTCTGTCTCCTTCCTGTTCTCACTCCTTCTCTCTACCTTATCCCTCCTCTTTCCTCCCACCTCCACTTTTCTTCTCCTTATTCCCTCCTCTTCTCTCATCTTCCTAATCCCCCTTTTCCTTCCTCCTCCTCCTCCTCTTCCTTCCTTTCCTTCTTCTTCCTTTAGTCTGATCTCCCTTCTTGATTTTTTTCTGCAAAGCAGGAAATATCGACTTTAATTATTTTTTTTCTTGCCTGTGTAAATGTCTGTGTGAGTATTATGTTATAATGGCGGATCGCAGAATGCAACATTGCATAAGGTAACACTGGCAGTAATTTTTATTTAGATTTGTTTTCATTGTACATGCAAATGAAATGGCATTGCAAGTACTGGGTAAACATGATGAATCCTTTTGCCAAGGAGTATAAAAGTGTACTTAAAGAAATCAAGAGGTAGAATGCAGTGCAGAAAAAAGAATTATGAGAATGGAGGCCTGGCGTGGCCTTAGAGACATATGCAAGCTGCCTGAAAAATTAAACACGGAAATACGGAGTGCCAAGGTCGTGAAAAAATACTAAATGGAACGATATAAATAAACGACGAGTGCATCTCTCTCTCAATCCGTATCATCTTCATTTCACTCACTTCTCCTTTCTCCGTGTCTCTCTCTTTCACTACACACACACACACACACACACACACACACACAAACACAAACACTATCACACACGTGCAAACACACACACTCACACACACGTACAAGCACACACACACACATACATATACTCGTATGTACAGTATGTGTGTGTGTGTATTTGTATATTTACACTTATTTTCATGCGTATTTACATGTACTTCCAAAAATCAATAAAGATAAAATAACATTAAAGAAATAACAATACCAAAAAATAATTGTAGGCACTGCTGCCCATCGACAGTGCCGGTGGCGCGGCCCTGACCCCAGCGCCCAGATTCCCATGAGAATCACACAAAGCCCGCGTCCTATTCACCTTTCAGAGGAGCTGAATCTCCCTCGTCCAGTGCAACATAATTCCCCGGCCATGACACTTTCGCATCGTCGCCGTGTCGTCCGAGAATCAGCCGAGATGAAGAGACAGGGTCCGAGAATCTACCGAGATTGGGTGTATGAAGTGGGGGTGCGCGCGCATGCACAACTACGTCATCATCACTATTATTGTTATCCTCATCATTAGCATCAACCTTCTCATCAATATTACTGTTATAATGATTACTGTATTATCATTATTGTTATGATTACTATTATACGGGGTACGGGTGCGCGCGCATGCATAGTCACGTCGGGGTCGCTGTTAATCACCTGCCTCACGCTCTTTAGCACACACGCCTGGCCTCCGTAACAATGCTCGCCCAACAACTGCACTGGTTGTAACTAGTAAAACTGGTTCCTTCCCAAGTACGGAACGCTTTGTGCTTGCTAAGCAGTTGGTTTCTTTTATGATGATTGACCATATGCCAAGCTAAGCTATGGTTGAATTATATCTGCTTATCTCATTAGCTCATTAATTGCCAATGGCTGTCTGCTCTTCCAGCTGATTAAACGTTTATTTAATCTTCAGTTCGTCTGAGACAATCAGCAAGTTATATTCCCATTCGTATGTAGTTCTACCAAGACGAACACCCGATTCTGATTTTATTATTTTATTTAATCTTATTATTACTATTCTCATATTTTTCTTTTTTATTTCTTTTCTACAAGATTTACCTCTACCTCGAATAATTTTGCCTTCCAAGCGCCCAGCAACAGTCATTTGCCGAAAACGAGTGCCTTTGTCTACCATGAGATTCTACCAAATTTGTGGCAAATTATAATCGAGGAAGAGGACCATTCCTACGGAATTGCAATATCTACACATTGTATAATTGCTGCCTTGCAACTTCTTACCTGCCCGGATAGTGATTACCATGGCAACAGGTACGAGTTGGTACTTCTGTATGGAAATGGGGTTATTTCCGGTTTTCTGTTTACCACAATTCCGTTGAGCGTCGGTGATCATAAGAATGATAAGAAGAGTAATAATGATGGGTTATACTATATTGGCCGTGATGTCCACCGATTTAGATTGATGATAATAACGATATTAATAGCGACCATGGAAGCACTTGATAATAATGATGACATTAACAAACACACAATGACGGACTATTTAATTTCCTGATACGACGGTGGTTCTTGTTAATAACAGCAATAATGACTACAAGCATTACTCAGATTAAAATCATAATTGCGTTATCTCTACTATTACTAGCAGAGGTATTATATGTGTTGGCATCATTGCCACTGTCATGTATGTTGATTTTGTCATTATCATTATCATTAATTGTACTGTCATTATTGTTTACTACCATCTCCATCATCACCATTATTGTTAACTTCGCCATCATCGTCATTATTTTTGTTGTTATAGTTATTATTGTTATCAATATTGTCATTATTATTTTATTATTATCATTATCATTATCATCGTTATCATTGTCTTTATGACCATCATCATTATCATCATTACTGCTAATATTATCATTATTGTTGTTTTGTTGTTATTATTAATGTTATTGTTAATTTTATCATTATTATCATTATTATAATTTTTGCCATTACCAACATTGTTGTTTCTATTATTATCATGATCATTATTACTGTTGTTGCTT